CAGCCCTGCACGCACACGCCACGCAGAGATAACTTTATGTGGTGAGGGATGGCTGCACAGACAGAGAAGACTGCACATCGTGGTTTCTGCACCGACACGCTGTCCACGTGTGCAGCTGTGTGCAGGTGCGTGCCATTGTGTGCCACACGTCACCGCGACAGCTGAATGTCGTGGCGGCGTCTCTCACCCTTCAGGCAGCCGCGGAACAGCTCCATGTGGCTCCGAATATTGTCCAAGTTGCATCCTGCACGCACACAGCGAACGCTCGGACCGTGCGTATACGTGTGTGCCTTACATGTTATTATTATGATTACCCTTCTTCTTTGGTTCTTTCGGTAAAGTCACGTAGAATGAGAATGAAATAATAAATTGATAAAATAAAATAACACAATAATATTTGGTTTAACACGTAACCCAAAAACCTTTATTATGAACAATAATATTTTCACGACGTTTCGGCCACAACACAAGCGGCCTTCATCAGGTGAAGCGGACGAGACTGTCTGGAGGACAGCGCTGGAGTGAGAAAGCCACGCTGAGATCACGGCCTTTAAGCTGTGTGAGAAGCAACAAAGCGCCTTGACAAAGGAATTAGCATATAATTTAGCATTGAAATGGCTGAGTGATTAGCTTGTGACTGGTCACAGAAAAGGCTATGTTAAAGTTAAAGCATATACATCCGCAAAGGCACCCCTTGACAAAGGAATTATCATAGAATTTAGCATTGAAATAGCTAAGTTAAAGTATACACATCCGCAGAGGCACCCCTTGACAAAGGAATTAGCATAGAATTTAGCATTGAAATAGCTGAGTGATTAGCTTGTAACTGGTCACAGAAATAGCTATGTTAAAGTCAGAGCATATACATTCACCGAGGCACCTAGTACAAATCAAAAAGGAGAATTTAGCATTGAAATAACTAGGCGAATTTAGCATTGAAATAACTGAGTGATTAGTTTGTGACTGGTCACAGAAATGGCTATGTTGAAGTCAAGGCCTACACATCTGAGCTATTCACAGTAACTGGGTATACAATACAATATATAATGAATACTATATAGTGAACCAATTAAAAAAAAGGTCGTGATCTCAGCGTGGCTTTCTCACTCCAGCGCTGTCCTCCAGACAGTCTCGTCCCCTTCACCTGATGAAGGCCGCTTGTGTTGTGGCCGAAACGTCGTGAGAATATTATTGTGTTATTTTATTTTATCAATTTATTATTTTATTCTCATTCTACGTGACTTTACCGAAAGAACCAAAGAAGATGAATCCTTGCAGTCACGAAAGCTTTAAATCGAAATGATTACCCTTGTTTTCCCAGGAAAGCTCCTCGCGGAGTCTCAAGACTCTCTTTCAGCAGGGTTCTGCCAAGCTTACACAGTAGGGGGAAATCTTGCTGGGTGTAATCCCCAATCAAGTCATTTGCTTGCGCAATACTTGGTATTGGGATGTTTGGCCAATACCGGTTACATTGTAGGATTTGTTTTAGCTCTGGGAGGAAACTGGAGAAGCCAAAGGAAACCGATGTTGAATAGGGGTAGAACATGCCAACTCCACAAAGAAAGGCGCCCTTGTCAGGAATCGAACCCTCGATTTGAGACATGCCACCACCACCCACCGCCGCCATGAAGTGCGACGTGAGTGCATGGCGAGAGAGCCGTACCTTTGTACTGATTCCAGAACGCGGCCTGTTGGGAGGAAATCGCCGTTAGTTCACGGGGACGCGCGGGAGGGCAGCGCTGGCAGCCGCGCCGCGTGAACAAATGCTAAGGTAGCGACCCTTGCCACGCATGACCTCGTGTCGTTCACTGGCAAACATTCAACCCTCTAGACTCTAGAGAGTAAACTCGGCACTGCTGCTGCTGCGTCTGGCGACTCACGCACGCAGGCGGTGACGTGGCCCGGTGGGAGACGGCTCGCCGCTTGCTGCAAATGATCGCGGTTCGAATCTATCGTACCACCCCACCCCCCGGTGAATACCGTGGTGAGTATTTAGCCATAAAGATACGACGCGCCGTCGGCTTCGAGCTCCCGTGGCGTCATCCGAGGAAGAGTCGGCCACTGCGTGCCGGCGTCATCCTCTAGATCTGCCACCTTTGTAACATTACACCGTAAAGCAATCGTCGCTAAAGTTGAGCACAGCCCTCGTGAAAACGACTCCTAAAAGTGAGTGAGAAGGAATTATTGGCCACCAACCACTCCCAAGCACCAGCCTCACAGCTCAGTGTATCACCACGCACTGTAACACCAACCGAGTTCGATTCCCGCTCACGGCCACCACCGGTGACGATGATCAGAACCGGTCCTGGGCCTCCCCTAGGTCGACTCAGCCTAAAACGAGTACCTGGTGCGGTGGTGTGTAGTAAACATCGCTAGCACTGGGGAGACAAAGGCGGCCGGGAGTTGAGTTGGCCATCCACCCTCTCGTGTGCCACAGTGCCGGCCTTCATGGGTGCTACTCGCTGCCAGCACTTGCCCCGACAGTCTGTCAAGGCTACACGGCGAGTCATTGTGGGGGCGCACCGTGCCGGCGTCGTTCTCGTAGACCTCGCGCGCCTCCTCGTGGCTGCAGGTCTCCTCGACGCACTCGCGCTCGAGGTTCCCCTGGAGCCGCTCCTCCAGGAACGAGTTGGCCCTGCGAGTCCGCGGGTGGAGCACGCGCGACGCCACGGGCCGGTCCAGGAACACTGCACGCATCACCACACATCATCGTGACACCATCACTCATCACCGCGACACCGTTGCCCATCACCGCGAATTCACCACCCATCAGTATAAATACATATTCTGATTCTGATGATTCTGATCATCGTGACACCATCACCCATCATTAAATTACAGAAACATCAAAATGGATGATGACGATTATGTATCGAGTGTGTGCGCAGACAAGGATGACGTGCGTGCCAAATACAACCGCCAGTGAAGTTCCATAAAGAACCGAGAGCTCTGCATCATCTTGCGAGTCAGGGATTTAAATGGGAGGTACTTGGTGGGGGGGGGGGGGTGCATGGGGGGCTAATCCATGAGTCTCACCTTGCGCCCCCTGAGTCGCGTGGATCATCGTCATGGCCACCGTCGCCATCACCACCGCCACGATCATCCTCCTCGCAGCGGGCAGCATCATCATCTGCTCCTCGCTCGCTCCGGCCTCGCAATGAGCTCTCCCCGAGTCCTCTTCTCCCCTTGCTCCTCGTCTCGACGCGGCACGTCGTTAAACATTAGCGACTCTCGCAGAGGAGGCGAGCGTTGCGAAAGGGGCATCAGCTCCGATAAGCAAGGGCAACAACGCGCAGCGATAAGAGATAAGCGGCGGACCCCGAGTGCACGAGCGCTGGGATTGGGATCAGTTTCAAAGCGCATGGCGCGGCATAAACAACCGCGCGGGGGAGGGAGGCGCGGATGGATGGAGAGACAGAGGGGTGAAGGGAGATACATGGAGAGACAGCGGGAGACGTGGAGATACATGGAGAGACAGAGGGGTAAAGGGAGATACATGGAGATACAGAGGGGTAAAGGGAGATACATGGAGATACAGGGGGGTAAAGGGAGATACATGGAGAGACAGGGGGGTAAAGGGAGATACATGGAGAGACAGAGGGGTAAAGGGAGATACATGGAGAGACAGGAGATGTGGAGATACATGGAGAGACAGAGGGGTAAAGGGAGATACATGGAGAGACAGGGGGAGATGTGGAGATACATGGAGAGACAGGGGGAGACGTGGAGATACATGGAGAGACAGAGGGGTAAAGGGAGATACATGGAGAGACAGGGGGAGATGTGGAGATACATGGAGAGACAGAGGGGTAAAGGGAGATACATGGAGATACAGAGGGGTAAAGAGAGATACATGGAGATAAAGAGAGATACATGGAGATACAGAGGGGTAAAGGGAGATACATGGAGATACAGAGGGGTAAAGGGAGATACATGGAGATACAGAGGGGTAAAGGGAGATACATGGAGAGACAGAGGGGTAAAGGGAGATACATGAAGAGACAGGGGGAGACGTGGAGATAGGGAGATACAAAGAGAGAAAGAGAGACAGGAGCCAGTGGAGAAGCCACTGGTAGACAGGGAGGGATATTGAGAGATGGGGAAAGACAAAGAGAGGCATGGAGACAGGGGAAGAGGCAGAGGGAAACAGGGGAAGACGAGAATAGGCAAGCAGAGACAGAGGGAGGACAGAAGAAGAGAAGGAGAAACATGGGGAGAGATGTGAGACAGAGAGAGACGGGGGAGATAGTGAGGGACAGTGAGATAGAGAGAAACAGGGGGAAACGGGGAGAGACAGAGAGAGGTGTGAGGAGATGAGTGAGCGAGATGGTGCCGGCATGTGTGTGTGACCAGAGGGGAGCGCAGGGTGCGAGCGCTCGTAGGGGTCACATCCATCAGCTGCGATGGAGGCGTCGCAATTGATCGATTGCTGGGCTGCGTTTCCACACCAGAGGCCCCTTCCTCCCTCGCTCTCACATTCCGCAGAACAGGTGGCATCGTGCGAGCTCCCATTCATCCAGGAAACAGCCCGCCGCTCCGATCACACAGCTCCACACACACACACGAGTGGCGACATAGACACACTCAGAGCCGTGGGGTCTTTAACGAGAAAACCCATTATAATGATTATTCAGTCATGCTTCCGATACAATGCCCATGCTCGCAGTTTGTGTCTGTTCGCCGCATTACATGGACGGATGATGACGAATTGCGTGCAGTCCCCACTCTTTGCCTTTACCAAATAGGCACTAAATTTTGACTTAAAACTTGTATGACTGCAGGAATTCATATTATTTATTTCGGTAAAGTCACGTAGATAGAAAAGAAAATAACATTTTAATTAAAAATAATAAATTTAAAATAATAAAAGCCAAAAACCCACGACGTTTAGATCGCAACACAAGCGATCTTCATCAAGCGGAGACAGCTTGTGTTGCGATCAAAATGTCGTGGGTTTTTTTGCTTTTATTTTCAATATATTATTTTTATTAAAAATTCTATTTTTTCGGCTTTTTAATTTTCTATCTACGTCACTTTACCGAAAGAACCAAGAATACAATTAGGCATTCGCTCAGTGGCTGTTTCTCTAAAACTCGTAGATGGCAGCGAGGCGGTGGTCGCAGAGCTGTTTAATTCTCTTAAAAATAAATAATGTTTGTCGACTCTCCGGGTGAGGTCGCGCCCTCTAAAGGCAACGTTTAATTTGGAAAAAGGAACTCGCTTGTTTTGATGTGCTGTAAATAATTGCTCAACCATGCGCTCTGTTTGATGTTCAAGTTACAGGCGGATTGGAAATCATGAACCAGTGAATCAATGTGTGCCGAACAGGGCCCCATCATGCACGTGGAGTGCTGCTCGTGCCTACAACATCTGGAAAGAGCAGCATTTGTTTCACAAGCCTGACCCTGCTGATAAGATGCAGAAGGTCGACAGTAGTTCATTTTATATTCTGCTTCAATAAATGTTGTTGGATATCATTAATCCGGAATGACCACGCAAGGATGCTGAATTTGCACTTTTTTTCTCTTTGTGGAAAAGTAAACTGCACATTGTGTCGATTCCGTGTATTTATTTGTTGTATCATTGTTGCTTACGACAAAATCACCAGCAATGCGCCTGGGCTCGTCAGATCTTCGTGTGTACCGAGCTGGTGACTCAGGCTACGGCAGGATTAGACAAGGCCATCGCCCCACCACTTGTCACACAGACATATATATTGCTCGACTTAACGCTCTAACACCAATCCATTACACGTATACAGTATTTAATAACGCACAATGTAAGAAAAATAAATAACATATATACAATGAAGACATTTTAAAATAACATTTGTTTTAAAACTACTGTACTACTCTTTAAGACATCAAAAAGCAGGGTTGTGCCTGGATAGTTCTAGTGCATGATGCACTGTACAAACGAACGCGTGTCTCAGCCCGATAGCGCAGGGGATCGGGCACGAGCAGGAGGAGGCCGCGGCGTCTGCAGCGAGGTGCCGGGCCCACGTGAGCAGGGACGCGCGGCCACGTGGGCCCGTGCGTGTCCAGTGACGGTGCCAGCTCCACTGTGCTGTGCTCACAGTTCCCACTGTCTGTCCTCTCCGTGCTGCTGCTGCTGCTGATAAAGACCGCCGGGCGAGCAGCTCCACGTGGGTATGGGGGCTCTGCTCACTTCACCCCGATCTCTCAGACCGGAGTATCACATCGCCCCCTCCCCCCGCCGACGTTCCCCCCCCCCCCCTGCCTCCGTCCCAGTTTTCCCGGCAGCTCGAGGCGAGGTGCTGATGGGTCGACGGTGGGGGGGTCAGTGGCCGGCGAGCGGCAGCAGCAGCATCCCGGAGAAGGTGACGCAGCGGCCCGCGTTGCTGTAGAGGCCGAGGCGCGGGTGCGCGGGCGCGTGGAGCCACACGCGGTCGCGCGCGTCCAGCCGCAGCAGCGCGCTTTGACTCTGCATCTCGCGGCGAGCCGAGCGGCTGCTGTCTCCGATTACCGCCTCCATGGCGTCTCGGTTGCGCATGAGCGCCACGGAGACGCCCAGCCCCGGCGCCTTGGCCACGGTGAAGGCGAAGAAGTAGAGGCCCGGCACGCGGCACGTGAACACGCCCGACCCCGCGTCGAAGTCGCCGCCAATGTCCACGAGTTGCGCGTCGAAGCTCAGGGCGCGGGCCGCCGCGCTCGGTCTCGTCGCTGCCGCGAGACTCGAGGTGCGAGCCGCGGAGAAGGCCGACCTGGTCGCGGGGGAGCGCGGCTCCTGGGGAAGAGGGGGGGCAGGGGGAGCGGGGGAGGTGGCGGGAGGAGCAGGGGGAACAGGAGGAGACGGCGCGGGAGAAGAGGGAACCACGAGCGAAGCGGCGCGAGGCGCGCGAGGGGCGGCGGGAGCAGGGAGAGCGGTGCCGGCCACGGGCCCCGAGTCGCCCGACGGAACTGCGTAGACCAAGTAGCCGGTGAAGGTGGTGTAGGCCCCCGCGCTGCTGTAGAGCGCGTACCTCGGCTCCCCGTGCAGGCGGAGCCACACGCGCTCGCCGCGCCGCAGCAGCAGCATCACGCTCTGGCTCTGCGTCTTGCGCTCGCCGCGCCGGTGATCGTCGTACACCATGACCTGCACCTCGTTGCGGTTCTTTACGAGCATCACGGAGAGCAGCTTCCGCGGGTACTTGCCCACGGTGAAGGCGAAGTAGTAGGCGCCCGGCACGCGGCACGTGAACGCGCCGGACTCGGCGCTGAAGTCCTGGCCCAGGTTCACGAACACGCGGTCGAAGGTCACCGCGAGGCGCGGGCCACCGATCTGGCTGCGAGTGCGCGCGGCGGAGAAGGCCGACACCTCCCCGGGGTATGATGTCCCTGGAAAGGGGAGCCCGGGGTTGAGGATCCCTGCCTTGGTGGTGGTGGTGGAAGCGGCCGTGTGTGCGCCCAGCAGCGCTGCGCACGCAAGCAGCGCGGAGACGCACGCGTGGAGGAGTCCGGGTCCCATCTGCGTGACGCGAGGCTGTTCCGAGTCGGACTCCGCGAGGCTCCGTGAGGCTCCGTGCGGCGTCGCTCCACCCTACCTGGAGCCCTGCACCTGCAGCTGTTCCCGCCCCGCAGCGCAGTGAACGCGCCGCACGGCCACTCCGAGTTGCGGACTCGAGCGAGTTCGCGCCCCGTGCGCGCTGCCCGGCCCCATCCACAACACCCGCACCTCCCGGACCGCGTTCCACCTACCCCTAGCTTCCCCACTCCCCCGTGTCTCCTTAATCGTCCATGCTCACGTGGTCGCGATAATTAGGGCTCCATTTGGCGGAGCGCGCGGATCGCGGCGTGGACTGCCGCGACCACGTACAGGGCGCGAACTGTGGCGGCTATCGACGAGGACAGGAAACCACTCCTGATGGGGAGACACACACCCACACTCACGCTTCCTTACAAACAAAACTCAGATTTCCCGTGCAGCCTTTAACAGGTTGTTGAGGCAAGAACTGTTAGCAAACACCGATTAAGACCGGCAAAGCGCCCGCCTGTATTGTATCCCCAGCGCTGAGGTTTTAGAATCAGATTCCTGGCTTCCAAGCGCAGTGCGTTGACCCGCTCTCACACTCGCTTATACATTGACACACGCTCTCACACTCGCTTATACATTGACACACGCTCTCACACTCGCTTATACATTGACACACACTCTCACACATGCTTATACATTGACACACGCTCTCACACTCGCTTATACATTGACACACGTTCTCACACTCGCTTATACATTGACACACGCTCTCACACTCGCTTATACATTGACACGCTCTCACACACGCTTATACATTGACACACACTCTCACACTCGCTTATACATTGACACACGCTCTCACACATGCTTACACATTGACACACGCTCTCACACACGCTTACACATTGACACACGCTCTCACACACGCTTATACATTGACACACGCTCTCACACACACCCTCGCTTATACATCCTCGTGCTCACTCACCCACCCCTCCCCATTCTTCGAGCAGCCGCTGTAATTACCCACAGCGCCAGGCTGCGTGTGACGCTCCGGCTGGATGATGATAGAAGCAGACCCCGTGTCCCCCCACGGGCCCCCCCTTGTCGGGCCCCAGCCCTGCCCCCCACACAAAGGGGAACGGGACCTGAACGTCGCGCCGATATCTCGCAGCGCTCTGCACAGACTCCGTGGACTTCCACTCGATTAAAAGCGTCACACACCCAGCACCATATCCTATTACCTCGCTGCACTTGGAGAGAATTCAACGTAAGTGGTCAGGCTGATTGATGATCCAGAACTCCCTAATTTACTCCAGTCACTTGCTTACTTCATGATTCCTCCACCCTTGTTGAACCTCAGTCTATCGGACACTGTTTCGTCTCATCCATACTGTCTTCACCCACCACACTTGCAGCTCACAACTCGCTCACTCACCCACCCACCACACAGCTCACAACAAACTCACTCGCCCACTCACCACACTTACAGCTCACAGCACACTCACCCACCCACCACACAGCTCACAGCACACTCACCCACCACACTTACAGCTCACAGCACACTCACTCGCCCACCCACCACACAGCTCACAACACACTCACTCACCCACCCACTACACTTACAGCTCACAACACACTCACCCACCCACCACACAGCTCACAACACACTCACCCACCCACCACACTTGCAGCTCACAACACACTCACCCACTCACCACACAGCTCACAGCACACTCACTCACCCACCACACTTACAGCTTACAGCACACTCACCCACCCACCACACAGCTCACAGCACACTCACTCACCCACCCACCACACTTACACCTTACAGCACACTCACCCACCCACCACACTTACAGCTCACAGCACACTCACCCACCTACCCACCACACTTACAGTTTACAGCACACTCACCCACCCACCACACTTACAGCTCACAGCACACTCACCCACCCACCACACAGCTCACAACACACTCACCCACCCACCACACAGCTCACAACACACTTACCCACCCACCACACTTACAGCTCACAACACACTCGCTCACTCACCCACTACACTTGCAGGTCACAACACACTCACCCACCCACCACACTTGCAGCTCACAACACACTCACCCACCCACCACACAGCTCACAACACACTCACCCACCCACCACACTTACAGCTCACAACACACTCACCCACCCACCACACTTACAGCTCACAGCACAGTCACTCACCCACCCACTACACTTACAGCTCACAACACACCCACCCACCACACAGCTCACAACACACTCACTCACCCACCACACTTACAGCTCACAACACACTCACTCACCCACCACACTTACAGTTCACAACACACTCACTCACCCACTACACTTGCAGCTCACACACTCACTCACCCACCACACAACTCACAACACACTCACTCCCCCACCCACCACAATGCAGCTCACAACACACTCACCCACCCACCACACTTGCAGCTCACAACACACTCACCCACCCACTACACTACAGCTCACAACACACTCACCCACCCACCACACAGCTCAAAACACACTCACTCACCCACCACACTTACAGCTTACAGCACACTCACTCACCCACCCACTACACTTACAGCTCACAACACACTCACCCACCCACCACACTTACAGCTCACAACACACTCACCCACCCACCACACTTACAGCTCACAACACACTCACCCACCCACCACACTTACAGCTCACAACACACTCACCCACCCACCACACAGCTCACAGCACACTCACTCACCTACCCACTACACTTACAGCTCACAACACACCCACCCACCACACAGCTCACAACACACTCACCGACCACACTTACAGCTCACAACACACTCACCCACCCACCACACTTACAGCTCACAACACACTCACCCACCAAACTTACAGCTCACAACACACTCACTCACCCACCCACCACACTTACAGCTCACAACACACTCACTCATCCACCACACTTACAGTTCACAACACACTCACCCACTACACTTGCAGCTCACACACTCACCCACCACACAACTCACAACACACTCACTCACCCACCCACCACACTGCAGCTCACAACACACTCACCCACCCACCACACTTGCAGCTCACAAAACACTCACCCACCCATTACACTACAGCTCACAACACACTCACCCACCCAACACACAGCTCACAACACACTCACCCACCACACTTGCAGCTCACAACACACTCACCCACCACACTTGCAGCTCACAACTCACTCACTCACCCACCCACTACACTTACAGCTCACAACACACTCATTCACCAACCCACCACACTTACAGCTCACAACATACTCACTCACCTCACTTACAGCTCACAACGCACTCGCTCACCCACCCACTACACTTGCAGGTCACAGCTCACTCGCTCACTCACCCACCACACTTACAGCTCACAACACACTCGCTCACCCACCCACCACACTGCAGCTCACAACACACTCACCCACCCACCACAGTTGCAGCATACAACACACTCACCACACTTACAGCTCACAACACACTCACCACACTTGCAGCTCACAACACACTCACCCACCACACTTACAGCTCACAACACACTCACCCACCCACCTACCCACCACACTTACAGCTCAAAACACACTCACCCACTCACCCACCACACTTGCAAGTCACAACACACTCACTCACCCACTACACTTACAGCTTTCAAAAGACTCACCCACCACACTTCCAAGTCACAACACACTCACTCACCCACTACACTTGCAAGTCACAACACACTCACTCACCCACCCAATACACTTGCAGCTCACAACACACTCGCTCACTCACCCACCACACAGCTCACAACACACTCACTCACCCACCCACCACACTTACAGCTCACAACACACTCACCCACCCACCCACCACACTTACAGCTCACAACACACTCACCCACCCACCACACTTACAGCTCACAACACACTCACCCACCACACTTGCAGCTCACAACACACTGACCCACCAAACTTGCAGCTCACAACACACTCACTCACCCACCCACCACAGCTCACAACACACTCACTCACCCACCCACCACACTTACAGCTCACAACACACTCACCCACCCACCACACTTGCAGGTCACAACACACTCACTCACCCACCCACCACACTTGCAGGTCACAACATATCCACCACACTTGCAGGTCACAACACACTCACCCACCCACCACACTTGCAGCACACAACACACTCACCCACCCACCACACTTGCAGCTCACAAGACACTCACCCACCTACCCACCACACTTACAGCTCACAACACACTCACTCACCCACCCACTACACTTACAGCTCACAACACACTCACTCACCAACCCACCACACTTACAGCTCACAACACACTCACCCACCCACCACACTTGCAGCTCACAACACACCCACCCAACACACTTGCAGGTCACAACACACTCACCCACCACACTTACAGCTCACAGCACACTCACTCACCCACCCACCACACTTGCAGCTCACAACACACTCACCCACCCACCACACTTACAGCTCACAACACCCACCCACCACACAGCTCACAACACATTCACTCACCCACCACACTTACAGCTCACAACACACTCACCCATCCACTACACTTACAGCTCACAACACAGCCACCCACCCACCACACTTGCAATTCACAACATACTCACCCACCCACTACACTTGCAGCTCACAACACACTCGCTCACTCACCCACCACACAGCTCACAACACACTCACTCACCCACCCACCACACTTACAGCTCACAACACACTCACCCACCCACCACACTGCTCACAACACACTCACTCACCCACCACACTTACAGCTCACAACACACTCACTCACTCACCCACCACACAGCTCACAACACTCACTCACTCACTCACCCACTACACTTGCAAGTCACAACACACTTACACTCACTCACCCACTACACTTACAGCTCACAACACACTCACCCACCCACCACACTTGCAGGTCACAACACATCCACCCACCACACTTGCAGGTCACAACACACTCACTCACCCACCCACCACACTTGCAGGTCACAACGCACTCACTCACCCACCCACCACACTTGCAGAACACAACACACTCACTCACCCACCCACCACATTTACAGCTCACAACACACCCACCCACCACACTTGCAGGTCACAACACACTCACCCACCCACCACACTTGCAGGTCACAACACACTCACCCACCCACCACACTTGCAGCACACAACACATCTCTTTCTCCTTCTGTGACACTGCTGCGCTTTGTAATTCCCTCCCACCTTTTCCCAAGCCTGTAAAACCTTTCTCCATTCAACATACGAGTTACATTATTCTCTATTACGATGATAGTTCTGTTTATTGCTGGCCGTTTGACATCTTGGGCCTGTGCCTAGCAACTATTTTAACATATAAAGCATCCCAAACAGCCGACAGACCTCAACTCAACAGCCAAACAACAGCTGGTCCCTATCTTCACTGGCAGGAGGAGATAGGGAACCTCGTTGTGCTCTCACCGTCATTACAACTGAGACCTCCTTGTGTGTGTAATGACAGGGTGACACCGGCCGGCCTGTAAGGGTAATTACGGTTATAGCTGCATTACATAATGCTTTATTATAAGGGGGGGCGTATCTGGGGTAAAGGTCAAGGGCGGAGTCAGTCGATAAGCTCCGGGAACCATCCTGAAGGGTCTAGAAGGATCTAGAAAGGGGGCGTGGCCAGAGGTGGAGCTTGAGCACGCCATGCAGATATAAGGAACACCGAGCCAGAGCTTCGGGGCTGTTAGCGTGGGGTCTGGGTCCTCGTTGGGTCGCTGTCGTTG